TAAGTTGAAGTTGATGTTGAAGACGATTAACACAACTCCACCAGCCAAAAGACAACCTTGAAGACATCCCACCGGGATTTTGGGACCATCTCTCGAGACAGAAGACCCGATGAGCTGTGGGAGGACATCAGGAGCATCATCCCCGAAGAAAGCAAGCGGTAAAGAGACAAGAAAGACAGAAGCTCCACATGCAGGCAGGAGAGACGGAAACTTGTTGATTGCAGCGTAGCTGAAGCACCGGCTAGAAATGATGACGTAAAGAGCTGAACCGAACATCTTGATGGGCAGCCTGAGAATGAAGGTGCCAAGGTCTGAAGGTAGAAAGCAAAGAAGGAGGGAAAGGGCCCCGCATCACAAGACAAGAGAACGGAAGGAAAAGTTCAATCCTCAAGGTACACCGTGGAATGGTTCTATGGGCAGAATATTGACGGTCTTAAGAAGCATCAGAAGGTGGAAGGAATACAGAGTCATTACCAAAAAGAACTGGTTAAAAAAAAAGAAGAAGAACTGGTTGGTCGTCCACCGTTTCACAAGGTAGCGTAGAATTAATAACCACTGGCACTGGCTGTCCAAGGTGATGGCCAAGTTGCACTGAGGGGATTAGCCAAGATCAAGGCTCCAAGAGTGGATAGAATGCCCACTGAAATGTTTCAACAAGTTGATGATGCAGTAGAAGAACTTCATGCACCTACGCCAAGGAATTTGGAAGACCTAGCCAACCAACTGGAAGAGATTCATATTTATATCCATTTCAAAGAAAAGTAATCAAACAGAAGGTGCAAATTACAGAACAAAATCACTAATATCACATGCAAGTAAAGTTCTGCTGAAAATAGTTCAACAACAGCTGCAACAATAGATCAATAAGAAATTCAAGGTAGATTCAGAAGAGGAGGTGGCATGAGGGATCTCATGGCTGGTGTCCCATGACTCTTGCCTGGAAGCAGAGAACACTAGAGAGAGGCTGACTTGTGTTGTATTGGCTCTGCAAGGCATTCGATGGTGTGCATCACAACGACGTTGAGAGCCCTTCACTGGGCTCACACAGAGCCTGTGTGTGGACCAAGGCATGGGAACACAATGGGGGTGGGGCTCTGCATGGCTTAAAATCAGGAAAGGTATGTCGGGCCGCATCTTTTCACCAGTTGACTCCATGGGTATGCTGTGTTTGAGAAGCTGCACACCACGTCGGAGAACACGCATCAGGTTTGGAGGAAGGCTCGTGAACGACTTGTGCAGGGTACATGACATAACCCTGCTTGCTGCAGAGGAAGAGGACTTGCTGAGGAAGCCCAAGGAGGACACCCCTGGTGTAGCTTCTGCCTCAGGCTAAAGAAAACCCCACAGCCTCACAGCAGAGCCAACCGAGAGCGACGCAATCAAGGGAGAGAAGACCGAGGCTGCCAAGGATGTCGCTTTGCATGGCTCTGCCATCAGTGCCATGGAAGCAGCAGTCAAGAAATCAAATGCCCCAAGAGGTCTCTTTAAAGAACAGCGAGGGGACCACGTTGAAGATCAGTTGTGCCATGGGTATTTTCAATCTCACACGCACGGGAAAGCTGGGGCCCACACAAACAGCATACACACTTCTGAAAGATGCAGAAACGACTGAGTGATGGGGGAAATGTATGTTGAAACCCACGTAAGGAACCGCTTTCCACCTCTCAGGCTGACCGGAAGCACACATGCACTCTGGTAGTGGGAAGCGGGGTGCAGTGGGAGCCCTCCTCGTGGGAAGAAACACTTGGTCCACTGCTTTGGAGAAACACTGCCTGCACGGTCACACGTTGGGCAACAATCCCGCTGCTGGGCACTTCTTCATTGCATCCTGGGAGGAGGCATGCTCAATGGTGTTCACAGCCTAACTGTAACCAGCTGGACCATGCAGGCCACTGGGCACCACAGAATGACAGAGGCCGGGGGAGCCACCCAGTGCCAGGGCAGAAGGAACAGTCAGGGGGCCCAGGACCAGGGTCCACGTTAGAATTGAGGTGACAGCCCAAGTTGGCTTGAGGGACAGGGAAGTGGGTGTACTTGTGGGGGCATCTGCCCATGGGTGCCACGGTCATAGCCACCCATGGACAAGGAGGCCATGCTGAAGAAGGAGTGGGCCCAGAGCAGGGTCACGGGAGACCTGTGGTCGAGGGGATCAAGGCAGGAGTCCTGTCCTATGATCTGGGGGAACAGAGGGCCCAGGGAGGAACTGTACCTGGATGGGCACCTAAGGCCCTTGGATTCCCGAACAGCATGGGTAGTGCCTAACAATCTTCCTTAAACACGACCTGCACTGAGGGCCCGCCGTAAAGTGGTCCCCACCGCCACTCTCTCACCCCAGTCTGGAATTATCACATTTGTTCAGTGACTCCCCTAGCAGGAAGGGAACCCCAGAAGGCCAGAGCCTTGGAGTCTTACAGTCTTGCTGTGAGTGTTGGGGTACCAGCCTCACCTGTGGTCTACACTAAGGTGACCAGATTTTAACATGGGTAAAGTGGGACACTGTTGATAAAACTCATATCCTGGCGAAATAGCCACATGGCAGCTGAAAACCGTATACCCTAGCTTGTCGTGCATTCTTTCCAAAAATTGGGACTTTTAAAAAATGCTGCGGAATGCGGGAAAAATTGTTAAAAATTGGGACTCTCCCACCAAAAGCGGGATGTCTGGTCACCCCCGTGTGCTGAGTGACTCTGGAGGGCTCGGGAAGCCCATGATCCCAGAGCCCAGGGGCACCAGACGTGCCTCAGATGGCTTTCGTGCGCTGCTATCTTCCTGCCGCGCTCCTCCGGAACACCCCCACCCCCACCCCCGCCACTACCATTGAGTCCGTCTGACTCATAGTGACACTGTTAGGTAGCAAGATAGGGGGCTGTTCCCCTCTGTGTCTAGGGGCCCCCTATAGGAAGTTGGAAACCAATAAAGCAGTGGTTCTCAACCTGTAGGTCAGGATCCCTTTGGGGGTCGAATGACCCTTTCACAAGGGTCACTGGATACATAATAGTAGCAAAATGACAGTGAAGAAGTAGCAACTAAAATAATTTTATGGTTGGGGGTCACCACAACCTGAGGAACTATATTAAAGTGTCGTGGCATGAGGAAGGTTGAGAACCCCTGCAATAAAGGCTAAAGGGCATGTGCCAATTCAGGCCTGAGCCGGTGGGAGGAGTGTGTGGGTGTTGTACACCTAGGTGGACGGTACCTAGGTACACCTGGATTGGCCCAATCTAGGCCAAGTGGGCTTAATTCAGCCAATGGGGTCAACCAGTACCATCGACCAAATCTCCCAGCGGAAGGCCCTAAAAACTGGAACCTGGAGACCACCGCCCTCTCTTTCCGCTGCTCCTCTGCCTTCTGCTCGGCTGCGCTGCAGTCTCTCTTGGGCTTCAGGTTGCTGTGTGTGTGTGTGTGTGTGTGTGTGTGTGCGCGCGCGTGCGCGTGCAGTCCTATGTTCAGTTAACTATAAAACCTGAAACTTCTTCTATACTTTCTAAAAACCTACTTGGATCACAAACCAGGCTTTGGCGTGAATTCTTTCTCATGCGAAGCCAAGAATCAAGGTGTTTCCTACCTGAGGAATCTAACAATACTATAGGAGCCTTCGAGGCTTAAATCTTGACGGGAACAGGCAGCCTCTTCTCCCTCAGAGCTTCCAGTGGTTTGGAACCGCTGACCTGGGGATTAGCAGCCCAAAGCCTATCCCACGGCGACAACAGATTGATTCAGAAAATGGAGTGGGTCTGGACCATCCGGGTGTCAGCAAATAGCTGGGGGTCTCAGGGGTGGAGCCAGCATGGCTGAGGTGAATGCGGACAGCCTGGGCACCAGAGCGCTGAATTGGGGTGGGGATGAGAGAAGACCATGGGGCTTGATTGGGGGATTTGACGTTGTGCTGACCACCTGGGGCCTCATCCAGTGTGAGGGTGAAGCTGTTCGAAGTTCCTACACAGGGGAAGTGATGGAATCGGACCCCGATTTCGGGAGCTTGACTGGGCACAGTGTGGGTGCTGGATTGGAGGGGGAAGAACAGAGCAGGGCCCCCGTCAAAAGGCTGGTGAGCGGAGCAGTGGCACTGGGGACAGGGTTCAGAGAGGAGCAGGGTACTGAGACTTGAGCCCGACAGAGGGGGCTGAGGACACCTTCCTGAGGAAAGGCTCAGCTGGGGCTCAGAGGGACTTGGGCTGATTGGACATCATGTGATTAACTGCAGAGCAATTGGGCTTTTTGTTTTTAAGGTGAGCTCATCTGCTGAAATAAACACCAAGCTGTCTGGGAAATGCTTGACTTACCCAGCTAATGACTCAAGCCCACAGAAGGTCGAGAAATCAGAGGGAAGGAAGGGGGAGAGTGAGCATCTACACCCGTGAGACCAGAACTAACTGTGAACGAAGGGGGCTTGGGGACAGAGTGGGCGATGCGTTGGCTGCTAACCACAAGGTCAGCAGTTTGAAACCACCAGCCACTGTGGGGCAGAAAGATGAGGATTTCTACTCCTAAAAAGATTTATAGTCTCAGAACCCCCGGGGGCAATCGACTCAATGGCAGTAGGTAAACCAGTTTGGTTTTTAAGTTGTGAACCGTGGTCCACAGACAGCAGCCTTTACGGAATCCTCACAGTCGCCCTGAGAGGAGGGGCTCACCCTCTCTGGCTGAGGAGATGGTGGAGGGTCTGTTTCTTTGTCTGAAGACACTCGGCGAGTATGTGGTGGCCCCTGTGGTCAAGCCCGCTCTCTGTCTGGGGCTCAGGCACGTCCCCACATGGAATCTGCCACCGGGACTGAATTCTGAACACGGAGCTGATGTGAGGCTGTGGGTGGGGGAGATCTGCTTGGGTTGGGCCTGAAGATGCCACGCAAAGTGTGCTCTGGAGGAAGGGAGGCCCAAGGGGCCTGGTGCTGACTGTACTCGGGTGGGGAGGGTGGGGTGGTGACGACAGATGACAGACCGGCCCACTGGCGTTATTCGCAGGTTTCTTAGAGCAGAATAACCAAGGGACAAACCAAAAGTGCATGTCACAGCGCAGTTGCTCTTTATTGATCCAGGACCTGGTCTGCTTCTGTCGCCCCAGAAAGCAGCTAGGGTAGCATCAGTCTTCAGCCTAAATATCTGCAAAATGAGGGTAATGATTGCGCCTGCCTCACCTGGCTGAAGGAAGCAGGAGGTTAGAGAAGACATTTTTGAAGAGGCTGGACAAGGACTTAGGTCAAAGATCCTTGGGTGGGGCAAAGAATGCACACTCTCAGCCAGAAAGTTGGAAGTTGGAGCCCACCCAGAGGCCCCTCAAAAGCAAGGCTTGGTGATGGATCTGTTTCGGAAGAACCAGCCACTGAAAACCTAAGGGGCTCAGTTCTACCCTCCCATGGATAGGGAGTCTGTTCTAATGTTTTCATTCTAATGCCCAGGTTAACTGCAGAGGGAGCCCTTAGAGCAGGGGGAAAGCTCATCGCTGCTGCCATCTCGTGTGCACATTGAGAACAACACCTGTGCAGACGCCTGCAGGAAAGTTCTCTCTCCACAGACTTCAGAGCCAGGGGTGAGAGAAAGTGTCTGATGTTGGTCCTTGGGCACACCACTTCCTCACCCAGCTCGGATCTGCAGGTGTTTCAGCCCCGCCCCCCCCCCCCTTCCTCTTGGACCCCAGGCTTTCCCAGGGCCGCTAGAGAGCCTGCCTGGTCTTGGAGGGTCTCTAGGCACCATGGCACCTGGAGGAGGGGAGCGAACCAGCTTTATTGTGCAAGTGAGAGAGGCAGCCCTGAGACCAAGGCAGGAGGAGCCAGGCGAGCATGGAGAATAGCACCGAGGGAAAGCCAGGGGGCACACTGGGGAGCCGGGCGGTAGAGGCCTGGGACTCAACCCCAGGTGCAGCATTGACAGGCAGAACTGAACACCAGGCCTGCTGGGCAGCTCTGCCGGAACAGCCGGCCGCCCGCACAGCTGTAGAAGCCGGAGCGATCCCGAGGGTTGGGGTAGAGGCCATCAGCTCTGCCCTGGCAGAAGGTATCTTCTCCAGGGCTGGGCCCACTCTCGGGCTCAGAGGGGTGCTCTGGTGTGGGCACGTCAGGCTCTGTGGGGCCTGAAGGCACATAGGGGAGACCTGTGAAGACAGTCACGATTCAACCCGGGGCCCCAAGGGCAAGCCCAAGTGCACAGGCCAAGCCCAGCAGCAGGCACCGGCACCCCGCAGGCAGAGCACAGCCAGCCCCACAGAACAGCCAGGACAGTCACCGGGTAGCGGGAGGACAGCGCGACAGAAGACACCTGGAGGACCCTTCATGTGACCCAGACCCTGGTTAAGCATTTAGCCATTCTCCCGAAGGTTGGAAGTTCAAGGCCACCCCGAGGCACCTTGGAAGAAAGGCCTGGCAATCTACGACCCTCCAAAGGAGCCCTTGAGAACCCTATGGAGCACAGTTCTCCTCTGGCTTATCAGGGTCCGCTGGTGGGGCGGTGCCCTATGTGTCAGGCTGCTGATTGCAAGGTCAGCAGTTCAAAACCATTGGCCGCTGCTGGGAGAAAGACAAGACTTTCTGCTCCTATGGGAGGCACCCGGGAATGAAGAGTTAGAGGCGTGGAAACGCACCGGAGTGGTTCTTTCTGCGATGGCAGTGCGTTTGAGCTGAAGGATCCGCTCACGGGCAACAGGGTACCCGTGTGACGGGCAGCAAGGTCTACCCATGCCCCAGCAGGGGATTGGGAACCCCACGGACACGCTGAGTCAGGCTTTCTCCCTGCTCCTGGGCTGAGGGTTCCTGGAGGAAGCCTGGCTACAACACCCTGGGTGGGCATTGCTACACCCAGCAAGAGGGCAGGAAGGGGAGGGCGGTGAGAAGAGAAGGTGTCAACCCGGACTTTGGATCAGTCCATTCCGGCTCTACCCCACACCTTGACTTTTCCTTTTTACTCCCCAAACCAAAACGCTCTCTGCCACCAAGTCGATGCCAACTCCACGGTGACCCCACAGGACAGGGTAGAACTGCCCCTGTGGCTCTGAGACTGTAACTGCCTACGGGAAGAGATAGCCCTGTCTTTCTCCCGAGGAGACCTTGAGGATCACAGCCCAAGGAGTAACCGCTCCATAGCCAGGGCTCCTGTGAGGACACGAGACTATGTCTAAGCGCCTGAAGGTCTGTAGGACTCACCTGAGGAGCTTATCAAACTCGAGAAATGCAAATGCTCAGCAGGGGGCGGAACCAGAACGAACTGGTTGAAAGCCTGGTTTGGACATTTCCCTTAGCTCGGGGCTGGGGTGGGGGTGGGAGGGGGAACAGTTTCTTCAGCTCCCCGGGGTTGGATGCAATGAGGGAAACCTCAGAATTGGGTCAGTCAGTTCCTCTGAAGAATCTTCCATGTGGGGGAGAGGCTTCCTACCCCACCCTGACTTCCCCTCTGACCCAGAGCCCCTCACGCACTCAGCTCCTGCTTCAGCGTCTGGATGAGCGGGTATCGGCCTTGGTTGCAGAAGGAGCCCCCGAAGTCGTCCAAGTCCAGTGTCCACACCATGGCCCCGCCCAGGCCCTTCTGCTTCAGATAGCTGACCTGTGGGGGGAGGGGAGGTCAGCCAGGAAAAAGCCAGGAAGTCCAGCCAGGCCAGCCCAGTAGGCTCCTTCCACATCTGGGCGAGGGGTGGTGGGGTGTCTTTTTTTCTCCAGCACCCTCAGGCCCACATGGGAGGAGCCCTGGGCCAGCACTCTGCATGGTTGAGTCTTTGGTCCCGGCGGGCACCAGTCACCCGGGAGGGATGGGGCAGAGGGTGGGGGGTGGAGGGCTGTGAGCATTTCCCTAGACCAGAAACCTGAACATCGTATCGTGGCCTGGCCTGCGCGGAGGGCCTGCGCTTGCAGTCCTGTCTGCTGGTCATGCTGAGTTCAAGCCCACAGGGCATGATGATGCCCCCACCCCCACCCCAAGAGCCCAATCAAGCTTTGCTTCCCTGACTTCATTCCTTTACCCTCCATGAGAACCTTCTCTGCCGCAGCCTCCTCAGCCTGCCTGTCCGCAGAGTGGCTTTCTCTGTCCCCCAGCTGGCCAGTGGGTCATGGTACTCCCAGCAGGAAGGGATGGGGGCTTGTGGGATACAGAAAGATTTCTCCCAAGTTGTCGCCCCCAAATATATGCCAAACCCAAGATGCTGCTTGCTACACATGGTAAATGACTGTACACCAGGAGGTCAACGAAAGTAGGTCAGAGGTTATTCTCCCGAAGGGTTATCAGCCATCTAAAGCAATCAGACTGTCCAGTCTGTCCCACCCTAAGTAGGGCCCACTCCCTTCTCATAAGGATAGTAGGTTGTTTCCCTGAAGGAGAGCCCAGGGAGGGCAAGCCCACTCAAGGGTGACCAAGGTTAGGCGTCCATATGGACTCTAGGGTTCGCTGGCCTTCTTTTCACATGCATGCCCCGTAGTCCCTCCCCTTCCTAGTACATGTACATCCCTAGCTCGTCCCCTTCCTGTCACACTTATCCCTATTGTACAGCCCCTTGCTGTGCCGTGCGTGGTTACCTGCGATCCCGCCCCTAAGTACATATGGGCTTTGGCCAGAAATAAAGGCAGAGACTCCTCCTGCCCTCTCTGCCCGCCGTTCGCGGACCTGGCTGGTGAGATCATGGCCGTCCAGGAGGTGAGCGTGCTGCCATGAAATGAGTCTGACTCCTTCATTGTACTCTCTCCTATACTCTAAGACTTCATTGTAACCTTTATAGATCTTAACTGCACAATTGGGCTTACTGAACCCGGGATAGTGCGAGCGGCTGGCTTCCCCGCAGGGGCTGGAGGGCAGGTGTGGTCTTGAACCCTTGTCCCAAACTCCAGCTCCCCCTACTCCCCGTTCTATGCCCTCCAGCTGCTTGGGCCACCCCCTTGTCCAGGGCCCGCCTTTCATTTTCCTCCCCCTCTTGTCTTTGCTTGGGCACGCTCTTCCCCAGAACTACCTACCCTTCTTCTTCTCTGCCTTAAGGCTCATCTCAAACACCTTCCACCCTGGCTCCTTCCCAGGCTCCTCCTCGGTTCTCCCAGAGCACATCTAGAAGAGCCTACCCCTTTTGGCCCGACTGGACCATCCAGGTGGGCTGTGGCCATAAACAAATGCGTCTCTCCTGAGAAACCAGCGCTCCCATGGGGGCCGAGGAACGAACAACACACTAAGCCACCAACACTGGGCGGGAGGAAGGGAGCATGTGAGTGAGTCCGCAGGGTCTGTCATTTGGACATGTACCGAATGTCGCCAGTGGACTGAGAAGACAGTGATGGGCGACCCACACATGCTTCTCCTCGTCATAAGCCTGTAGAGTGTGTTGCCTTTAATAAGCGACAAATCCTTTAGAATGTGTTAGTGAACAGGACCATTTCCCGGGCCCCTGGCCATTATGTCTTATCTTAATCGATAGATGGCAATGGTACACAGCTCCCATCTGGGGATGTGAGGATTGGGACGTTCGGAAGGAGGCTCCTCCGGGAGAAGGCTCTGGATGCTGCCCCCAGTGCTGCCACCACAGGGCTGGCACTCACCTTTGTTTTGAAGCTTTCCACATCATCGAAGCCCACCCACTGGGTGCCCTGGAAGGCGTAGGGCACCTTCTGGTCCTGGATCCTGAGCTTGGTGGCCCCCTTCCAGGAACAGACCTGCAGGGCAGAGGGTCACCGCTGGGGAGGAAGGGGCTTGGAGGACCCAGGAGATTCTAGGTTGCGTGACCTAGCGCTCAGGGCCGCTGAGCTTAAAGGTACAAGCTGACCAGTGTGGGATGGGACTCAGCAGTCTCTGGTCTTCTCCGAAATGGTGAAAGCAGGACCCTCACCCCCTCCCAGGCAGCCCCCGCCTCCCTCCTTGTCTCCCAGGGTGGCTGTAGGGCAGCAGTTCTCAACCTGTGGGTTGCAACCCCTTTGAGGGTCCCACGGCCCTTTGACAGGGGCCGCCCAATTCATAACAGTAGCAAAATGACAGGGATGAAGCAGGAACGAAAATAATGTTATGGTTGGTGGGTCCCCACCACATGAGGAACTGCATCAAAGGGTCACGCCATCAGGAAGATTGAGAACCACGGCTGTAGGGGTTCCTACCTCGTAGTAGGACAGCACCCCTGCCTCCTTACTGAAGGCCCCGGGGGTCCCGGGCCCTGTAGCTGAAGCCCCCACTCCAGTGTTTGATGAGGAAGCCAGGGTGAAGGACCGTCCGTAGGTGGGCATGCCAAGGATCAGTTTGTTGGCAGGAGCCCCCTTCTGCAGCCAGTATTGCACGGCAAAGTCCTGGTGGAGAAGGAGGGGTGGGGTCATTTTCTTTGCCATCAGGCTGAGCTGGGGCCCCCACGATGGAGGGCGCCAGCCGCAGAGTTTGGAGTTGTTAGCAGGAGCTGCCAGCATCCCTATCAGCGTTCCAGCCATAGCCCACCCTCCTGAGACCCTTCGGCACTCCACCTCAGCCAGTGAAGCCACACGTGCGACAGCTAAGAGCGCGGCTTTGGGGTCAGACAGCCCTTCAGCGCGGGGACATTTACTGGTGACCTACTGGGTGTCAGTCACTGCCCTCGGAGCTTGGGATACCTCGGTGAACCACAGTAACCAGACAGGGCTCTCCCAGCAGTGCGGGCAATGCCCTCGAGCCTTGCCGTCGGTTGAGGGAGGTGAACGTGTAGCTGGTGCTTGTTATTCGCAATTCCTCATGCTTTACAGGCATTTCACAAACATGCTGGACTGGATACAGTGCTCAAAGGCCAAGGTGTCACTCTGAGAACCAAGGCGGCCTGACCCAAGCCAGGCCGTTTCCAGTCACCCCATTCAACGCGTGAGAGAGGGAAGCGGGGTCGAGGCCGGCCGATTATGGCGTCAGTGACGGATATTGGCTAGTCCATGGACGGCCGTCCGAAGGACAAACAAACCTGTCCCGAAAGCACAGCCGGAACGCTCCCGAGAAGCAAGGATGGCGAGACTGTCTCACATCACGTGGACACGTCCTCAGGAGAGATGGCCCCTGGAGGAGGGCAGCAACTTGGTGGGTAGAGGGAGGGTCTGAGGAAAAGAGGGTGGTCCTCCTCGAGGGAGCTGCAACCTGGGAGCGGCTGGGAGGGTGGCGCGGGCTTGGGCGATGTTTTATTCTGCTCGATGGCACTGAATGACAATATGTGAAGTTGCTGCAAACCCTGACCTAGCAAATCCTGAACCATTGCTTCCAGCGGAAATCCAGGGTTAGGGTCCCCGGAGCCTCTGGTCACAACATTTTTGCGAATTGATCAATATATAACCTTTAAAAAATTTTTTCTATTTTAAAATGCCTTATCATATAGGTAGGTAGATAGATACTTAGAAAGGTAGGTAGGTAAATAGATAGATAGAAAGGTAGGTAGATAGATAGATAGATAGATAGATAGATAGATAGATAGATAGATAGATAGATAGATAGATAGATAGATGGATAGATAGATAGATAGATAGATAGATAGATAGATGATAGACATATAGATGATAGATAGATAGAT